TTCTCCTTCCCATAAAGGCAACACTGCTAGAGCATCTTGTCACATGCTATTATTTTACAACTCTCTTAAAAAAGGCAGCACTTGGCTGGTCTCACAACTCCCAACCACAATTGTCACTTCAGACAAACATGTATTATTTGAAATGGGAATAAATGCAAGCATAACAAGAGTCCACTGTTAATACAGAGAACCTGAAGTCCCTAACATTTAGCTCCACAACTTTTTTTAGGATTGAACATAGAAATCCAAAAGGTTGTTGGCTAATTGATTTGTTTGTTTATTGATTGCCACGCATCTTGGTCCAAACTCTGGGCAGCTCACAAAGTTCATAATGATTCAGTCAATCAAGGTTGGCAATGAGCAAAGGCGTCTGAAAGTGAGTCAGCAAGTTTCATGGTAGTTACCAACTTTTTGAATAAGCTAGTTCATCTGCAGATGAACTTCATTTTGCAGAAGCTTTCCTTGGCCTGGAAATGAAGTTATAAGGAACATATAATTTGATTTAATCTGTTAAAGGCACAGGAGGAAAAACCTGTAACATCTAGGTATTCACTTTAACGTATTTTTAGTAGTAAGGATGAGGAGGGCTGCTTTTGTTTTAACCTGTCTAGTTTGTGAACTGCTTTCCCCCTTATCTTGGCAGATACATGAGCAAACTGAAGGATAGCTTTTGGGATTTCTTGATACCAGCGGTGGATAAAATACATTTGGAAGTGCATCAGCACAGGGGAGACATTTACATCTTTAATATGTGAGAAACGCAGGCAGATGTCCATTGTTAAGTGAAACTGAAATACATTAACTCCTCACTTGACAATTTCTATGTGCATTTTTATTTGGTCTGTTAGATTTACATCATGTCTTTTCTTCAGGAGCTCAAGATGATATATAATCTTTTCCGCCATTTTTCTCAACAATAACTCTCGGAGATAGCTTGGACTATAGCTTGGGAGAGTAACTGACTTAGAGTCTCCCACTGAGCTTCCACAATTAAGACTGAATTTGAACCTGAGCCAAGTCTAATGCCCCAATCATTCACGCAAGTTTTCCTGTTCGTAAAAGGAAATCAAGTCTATACTGAAGCCACATTTTCTTTTGACAATTACTAGTCTGTGGCTAAGCTGCTCTTTAATACCAATAAGTTTTGCCTGTCATTTGGATTATTTGCTTGTGGTTGAATTCTCTTTTTTGAATGATTTAGTGCCCATATATTTTGAGTTGACAGCTGTGGATTCATCCATTACCATACAAATTTGAAACTCAGGACTAACTACATGTTCTGTATATTATGTACTGTGCAGCTGATCCTCATTTTTTAAGCTTTCAAGAGCAGGCCTGCAGAGCAAAGAAGGTTTTAAAAACTTCCTTGCTGCGGGAATTTCATTCCTAAAATTCCAACCACTCTATACGAGTGCTTAAGAAGGGTGTTGGTATCTGTGTGTCTCCTTTTACAATAGCATCCATTTGCAATACTCTCCTGATATTTATTAAAAGTTTAAACAAATACAGGGCTTGCTGCTGCACCCTGTGTAATTCATGCAACATGTAATTTGACCCTCTCCCTTAATATTTCCCATATGTACAATTGATAAATTGTGAGCTGTAAACAGTAAAAGCAATTTGATGGTGGTGGATCCAATTACCCAGAGATGGTGGGGTCCCCTTTGCAGAATGTGTTTAAGTGAAAGCTCATCAACCCCCTCTGTCTGGAATGCCTTCAGTTGGATGCTTGCATTCATTAGGGGGCTGGAGTCAATAACCTGAATGGCCCTTCCTAACTCTACAATGATCTGATTCTGTCCAGTGGTGGGATTCAGCCAGTTCTCACTACTTCGGGAGAATCGGTTGTTAACTTTCTGAGCAGTTTGGTGAACTGATTGTTGGAAGAAATCATTAGGGCAGAGAGCTGGTTGTTAAATTATTTGAATCCCACTACTGATTCTGTCCTATGGGTTGAACCACTTGGGCTGTTGCTAACACAGGGCATTATTTTGCGGCTTAGGTCATTTGTTTTGGTTGATTTCTATCAGTTGGCTTTTTCTGATGGTTTGGTAAATACTACACCTGGATCACACCTGTCTTCTAAAGACCAGCAATTTGGATATTGAAACCTAAATCTTGCTAAGAAAAGTGCAGGGACTAGTCCAGGCAGATGCCAGGAGTCAACAATGACTCAAAGGCACATATGCACACAAAGCTGAAATAAAGGAACAAGGAAATATATATGTACAAACATTAGAAATGCACATACAGTGCATAGCAGTTACAATACTGGCATTTAAATTCTTTCCCTATTTGAATCTAACCGCTGAGAAAAACATGCCTCGAAAACATCTTTTTTCCTGCCTTGTTCCTATGACATTGCTTTCGTCTTGTCCTGATGAATGAAAGAGACTTAACTTGTTTTTAGCTTTACCGTATCAGTGGTACAATAGTTTTATTCCCGTTTTCTGATACCATTCAAGAGGGACCCTTAAAGTATCTAAAATCTTGATCAAATATTATGACAGAGGGAAATAGGGTGATCGGCAGTGACCAAGAACCAAGGCAAGGTGGGAATCAGCCATGGAGCAGGAGAACAAATGTTATGTTTCTGCTAACTCAGGAATGAGTAGCTAGCAATAGTACGGAAAGGCCCTTAAGAATCTGATGCTTAAAAAAATAGAGCTGTTTAGGAATTGAATATGGTGAACATTGTTAGACTCTTACAAATAGTTTCTTTGGCCAGAGCAGGAGTAAAGGGTAGGCTTTGAAGGGGTTCAGGCTTCAAGGCAAATATTTATATATTTAAATTATTGCCAGATGTTTCCATTTCTTATCTTTGCCACTGCATCATGTCTGCTTGGTTTGGGTTTTGACACACACCTCTCCCACTCTAGAGATATATACAGCTGGTTGGAACACCGTTCCACGGACTTAGTGAAGTGGGGAGTGGAAAATAGAACCCCCTTCTTAGAACCAGAAATCTATAGTGAGGACCAGCCCTTGTCGGAAAGCATCTGGAGTTGAGATTCTGGGCCAAATAAGCAATAAGGAAACTTGTTAACATGGATCATCCACCAAGGCTTGTGTATAAAATTGAACACATGCAGCCCTGGATTTCAAAAGAAAAAATGTTTCTGTTAGCGTTCAAAGCATCTCAGGGCTGGCCAGTTTTCTCTTCTGTGTTTGGCTTTGCCAGAGATCCTAACCCTTCCCAGAGTATGTTTTCAGAATGCTAAGCGTGGGCTTCATATACACTTTTGAAGTAAGCCCTTTCAAAATATAGATGGCTAATGTCTTCAGTATGGGCGAAATATACCATATGCTGCAAAAGAAAAGGGCCTCTGTGCTATTAAAGTTTCAGCTCGGCCCTTCTCCTCCCTCTCCTCTCACCTCCCCCCCCCACCCTTCCTTCCTCTGCTCCAGCTCAAGAAACTAGGAGGGAGCGAGAAAGAAGAAAAGAGACCCAGTCGCTGTGAGATTCAGACGGAGGTGGATGAAGAAGGACGTTTCTGCTTACAGGCATAGTAGCAGCCCAGAAAGCATCATTTTACTGCTGGAGGTAAGAGGACAGAGCAGAAACTGGAGGGCAAACTTTTCTTAGTAAAGCAAGCTGAAACTTGACTGGGGGGGAAAGTGCAGACATTAAATGCAACAGATGTTTGGTGTGCTTCACAAAGGTACGGGAAGGAGACGGATGGAGAAATGTATTTCTTTATCTCATCAGACTCCTGCTGTATTAGGCAAGGGTCGGAGTTGTCTTCTTCACAGACAACACTTCATTGGTAGCATGAGATAGATTATTATTTTTCCCTTGCCTTCTCACCTGGGTTGCCTTTCATTAGGTGAAGGCAATGGAATAGAATTGGGGGATATCACATGGTTTGCTGGAACCACTCAGCACAGTCCTCTGGAATCTATTACCAGAAGGAATGTCATGTAAGTGTGCGTGCATGTGCACACTCATGCATAAAGTGTGTTTTATGTTTAAACAAGAAAAAAAGAAGAAGAGGAGGACAATCTTTATTATGAGATGCAGGCCTGAATTCAGCTTCATGCCACTAGGCACAAAATCTGTTCTACTACGTTTAAATTCAAAATAAATGGTAGAAAGGCACTAGCATCCCCCATTGGGCTTGCTAGTTTTGCAAATATTTATTATCATGATTAGCCACTGTTCGGGTTGTATTATAAATCATTCTATAAAGGGCAAAATTAAGTACTAGTGGATTAATTGAGGCATTCTCTGTGAAAAATGGGTGTAGAATATCAACCCAACTTCACCACTCTCCTTAATTTCCTCTTCATCCTCCTCCTCTTTTTCCAAACTCAAGATGGTTTAAAGAGTCCTAGGATTTTGGGGGATGGTTTGGAAGCATCCCTTCCCCCTTTGGGGCAGTTGAAGGTGCTGACATGTGTCATCCTGATAAAAGGCCTGTTCTGGTCACTGTTAAACCAACAGCATCCTTTGACTTGTCTGACATGTCAGCAAACTGCAGTAACTGTTGGCAGAAAAGAACTGGATAAAAAAAGATGGAGTGGAAAAATAAAATCTAAGGATGGGAACCGTCACAAAGAAAGATTAAAACTACTATGCCAGAAACCCTACAAAGCAGCATTCTCTGGAATTGTCTTTGTTGTTGTTTGGCTTTGCTTTCTTCCATAAACCATATTAATAAAAATACAAATGGTACAGATGATGCCAAAGAGAAATATCTCCAACTCTAAAATAATCATTCATTCATTCATTCTTAATACAAACTCTCCAGCATTTTTCTGCTGAACCATGGATTAATCCAACTAATTTAATTCTTTCCAGCTCTTATGTTAGACGAAATAAATTTGCCTTTGAAGTGCTACCTTGAATGTGGAGTGGGAGAAGATTTGACAGATGTGCAATCAGTGCTGGAGACAATTAGTTCTATTGTTTGAATGATGTGAAAACCATCTAGTACTTTTGATCTGTCTTTCTTCTTCTCTGGTCTTCTCATTTTTCCTTAAAGGCCATCCCCGCTTCACTCAATCCAGTTTTGAACAGAACTCAACAGAGCTGGAATTACCTCTCATTTCCTCTCTAGAGATCTATTGTATTTATTTAAACATGGCTAGTCCAGACAGCCACCAGGAACCAACACTGACTCAAAGGCACAAACCCCTCCCCCACCCCACCCCCGTCCTATTTTAATATGGTATTTATTTAATGTCTCACTGTCACGTTTTATAAGAAAGAAATTAGCATATATAAAGTGTAATTAATTATTTCTTCATTCCCCTTTCTGTCCAATGAACCTCAGAATGGAATCCACAATTCTTTTTGCATGTGTCTGTATGATAGATCACTTCAGACCTGCATGCTCAGTTAAGCTGAGAGAAAATAATTGAGCAAAAGACGTCTAATACACTTTTGACTGTAGATTTCTTAGTAGCACCTGAGCTTGCTTGCTTGCTTCCAGACGTTTCATTACTCAACTAGGTACCATATTCACTGCAAGCTTTATATAGTACCTTGACCTGACAGATTTTTTTGGGGGGGGAGGGGGAGCAGTCCTCTTTTTTTCCCCCAAACATTTTTTCAAAATTTTTATTCTGTTATATATAGTTACAGGTATACATTCACATT